AGTAAAGAACAGCCTGTATGTTCCATAGTCAGTGCTGTTGGGCAATGAGTCATGACTCAAGAAACTTTACATGTGTTTGGGGGGTAGGAGTAACTAATTACATTTATTCTGTAATTGAGTAGCTTTATAGCATAAGTGAACTCTACTATTAGGAGATTTTAAGTTTTTAGTCTAACTTTTAGTTTTTTACTTTTACTTTTGACCAAAACTACAGATTTTGTCGGCTTTGTGAGCACCGGAAACAAACAAATGTGAAGACAAGTTATCTGGCTTTACTTTGTGCTCTTTATTTTGTATCTTCCCAGTACAAAAGAAAAAGACCAAGACAATATTCTCAAAAAACAGCTCAGTGACTAATTTTTAATCAAAGTTGTTTTCAACATGAGTGCAACTCCTTGGGTAAATTCTTAGTACAATAACAGCCTTTGGGAGGACATACTGCAGTTTCAAAATGGTTAAACATTGATATCAAAGTTTGTACAGGTGTTTCCTTTGGTTGGACATACAACCATTATTCGCTGCATAGATTTTGATTTGTTATCAGTCTGCTATTAATCATTAACCTTTTATTTTTTTAAAACAACACACTTTATTCTGTAAAGGAAGAACAGCAATCATGGAACGGTCATCATGGTCATCTCACAACATCTCTGACCCCATTAAAAAATGTGTCTATGCCACCTCTAGATCCAGCTGAGGAGGATTTAAAAGTGTCTTGCATTAGCATGTCGTCCATAGGTACTGAATGTATGTTTTCCTTGATGGTAACAAAATTATATAAATCTATATATAAAGCCAACAGTCTGTGCAAAGACCGTCACTTCAATGTATAATAGGTTGAGCAGTTTATTAAAACAACAAATAACCAAACTAGCACCAAGTACAATCACTAGCAAAGAAAATAATTAGGACAAAAATATCAAGATCAACTGTGTTTGTACCAAACCTACTGGCTATACACACCCGTACATATACAGTAGTACATGATCAATACAGTGAAAGCCATTTGAAAGCCAACATACTTAGATACATTCATTTTTATCAACTATATCACTTAATTTTGACCTTTTTTGTAAATAATGAAGTATAGTAAAAATATAACTGTATAACTGTTTGCGAAAAAAGAATAACTGACATAAGTGGCTCTGACTGAATCGCTGCTTCTGTATTAGTTATTTCTGTATTCAAGCAGCTCAGCCCATTGTCCCTAAGTATTATGATCATATTGGGTGATTGGCCAGTGCACAAATCACATCTTAAAATCCTAACAACTGGCTGTTAATGTTGTCTTGATTTATTGTATGAAGAAATCAATAATGAAGTGGTCAAAAAAGTTATAAGAAGTGTTTATTAATATAGTGTATATGTCAACTATTTTAAACATATGTTACATTATTAGGACCCTACTTGATATATTATCTTATATTTACATTACATTGTCTTTTATTATCTGTTTATTTACCAGCTTCCACTTATGAGTTATAGTTGTTGACAAATGCATTAATAATCACTTACTCATCACTTATAAACAATGAATTAAAGGTTTATATACAGCTTATAAATGCTGCATAGGAGAGACAGTTACCATGTGTAGATATTATATAAATAATAATTTTAATAAAAGCTTATTAATAAAGGTCAGTGAACATAATCTGGAGTCTTTAGCACATCATCTGCAATTTTTTGGGCGAGCAGGCTGCAGCCAGCTGAAAAGCTTCTACTTTTTGTAATCTCTGTAGAACAACAAGTTATCCCACTGTTGATATCATTTTTGGGATGTTTTATTGGGGTTAAATCCAGTATACATCCTGGTCCAAACATTTTCACCTTACAGAACTGGGGGAGTAATCTCACTCCCTGGAGGGTTTACTCTTTATAAACGACATGGGAAGTTTGTGTGGGATGTGTGATTAGCTAGACTTTTCTCTTCAGCAAACACACAAACATGGATACAGCCATTTATGGTGCTGGCCTTCTCCGTCCTTACAGGCAGTTTCTGAATTCAGTCCCTTTTTTTCAGAAACATTTATATTATTATTAATTGAAGGAATGCAAGAATTGACAGAAGAGTACGGGCAAATCAGGACTTGCCTTTCAGTGATCTGTTCCCTTATTTAGAACAAAGAGGATCTTGAAGCTTTAATAAGGCTCTCAAAGTGTTGGCACTGAACACCGTGTGAGAGCAAAACATGCAAAGTCATAAACCGCAACAGTAAAATAAACAACAAAATACAGATCTGAACTTGTAAAATTCGAGAGAATGTGATACTCACCGGAGCATTCACACTCAAAAACAGACTATTATTAAGTTGATTATTGATTTTCTCGTTAATCCCAAACATGTTAATAATTGTTACTGTAAGTGCACTTCGGCAGCCAATACATTTCTTCATGGCATTTTCATTAGTTCCCTGGGGAAGACCAGAGAATCTGAGGTTTTGTCACATGACCTGACTCACACTTGACCCGTACTCCACAAAGTGGACCTGAGTGGAGATGGGGAGGGAGATCGAGGTGGGGTGGGGGTGGTTTAGGAGTGGTAGGCCTGGTGCTTATACCTCCCAAGGGAACTCAAAAATGTCTTTGGTTTTCCCAGGCTAGGACAGGACTTCTTTTCAGTTTTCCTCTAGTAGAATCTGCATTTCATCTATACATATACAAGGCAGTATATGTTCAGAAAATACAGTGTTTGAGCTTCAATTGTAAGGTATTAAAATGTACAAATTAATATTATTTAGACCACCATATAATTTTATAGACAGGTGTCAGCTCCACATGGTTCCTACTTTTTAAAAGAAAAGGTAATTGCAACAACAACAGCATTCAGTTGAGGCTTTCTGCTGAAACTTTATCAGTCATTATCTCAACAGAGGGAGATCTTCAGGTCTTCACTTCACATCTGGGAAAACAGAAAAATGTATCATGAACTAGGAATGCACCAGCAGTGTTATAATGGCTCTACTGCATGGTGATGTCCAGTTACTGGAAAATGACCAGAAGGCTGAGTCATATGTGTCTGTTTTTTATGTTTAAAGATTGGATTACATCCTCATGAGGCTGTTTTATTTGCAAAAGGCAAACAGACATGACCACATGCTGTATGCTCATATAGAAAAATGATTGCCTGTAATGGGTCTATGGGTCTTTCTAATTTGCAGTGGTGGAAGTATATTTACTCAAGTACTGTTTTTGACACTACTCCACTTCATTTCAGAGGTAAATATTGCACTTACTCCACTACATTTATTTTACACTTGTGAATACACTAATCTGCCCAGTAGTATACAATGCATCTAAAATATGCTGTATTAAATAGTGATAAAAACAGAAAAATACAATACACATGAGTACACGTGATAAAACGTATGTGCTTTTACTTAATTTAATTAATTTAGAATTCAGGACTTTTACTTGTAACTGAGTATTTTTATTTTTAATATTTCTACTTTTACTTAAGAAAAAAAAATAAAAATCAGAGTACTTGTTCCACTACTGCTTATTTACTCCTGTCGATATTTGGGAATCGAGGTTAATTGGTTAATTCATTCTATTATATTGTTTTGTTTTCTGTAATAAGAGCACACTTCCTTCCTCTTAAGTTGTGGTACTTGATGACCTTTCTCTTCTTAAACCATACTTTTTGTTTTGTGCTAACGACACAGGGAAGTGGTCTAATTGTGCATTGCTGCATCTACCCACAAGATGTTCCGAAACATTTCTCAGGTCATGCTCAAGCCCCCAACGCATCATCAGTATACTAACCAAACACCAAGTGGTTGTACAGGAAAGGCAGAAAAGGTTTGTTTTTTTAAAAAGGCTTGTTCCAATTATCCATAAGTGTAACTTTGAACTTGCATACAGCATGTAAAGGTTTGACCCTGCTTAAAGTATTTAACTAATTTGTGAAAGAGCCACAGCAAACATGTCCCTGAGCTTATATCATATTTGTTTATTTTGCACCCTGGGTTCTTTACAATTATTCTCTCCGCTGCCAGCCATCGTGCCTCAACAGTTAAATGTTGTGTTGCCACTCTATCATTGTGCCAAAGCCACATCAAGTGTAAACCAGACTACGCTACCTGGCTGAGCCATTTTGTTTGGGGAGTAAGGTAGCTGCTGCCCTGAAGGAAGAGACAAGTACAACCTAGAAACTGATATTATCAAGCTGAGGTGAAACCTTTTTAAAAATAGCTCTGTGCATAATGAAAAAAAATTATAATTAGTCAAAACCATGTATGGGCATGATTTCATTTCATGGAAGCCATGCTTGAAATGGTGTTTACTTGCATACAATTTAAAAGATGACTTTCCTACCTCTAATCTAACCTCAGCAATTGCAGGAGTCCTGTTAGTTTAAAGTGTGATAAATGTATGATGAAGGTGACTTATATTTATTCAATTCTATCTTTAAACAATACTCACACACCCATGCGTGGGGCTATTTTGTCCCCCCTCATTTACACTGGAATTACGTTAGAAAGCACATATTGTTTTAGGTCAAGCGTCAGGTTTTCAGTATTCCCATGGTACACATAGTGTTAACTCGGTAAAGAATCTGGTGCAAAAATGGAGGTCGATTTTGAGATCAGTATTATCTTCATGCACTGTAATAAACTGTAAAATACTTACAGGATGTTCTATGGCTGCTGCTTTTTTGATTATCTCGATATCTATGCAAATCAGTCAGCTCTGGGGGGAACAAGTGGTCCTAAGGAAGGTGAGGATAATGATAAGATAAGATGAGACGTAAGATAAGATGTACCATTATTGATCCCCTTTAGGGGAAATTCAATATTTTAAATGGAGTTGTGTGAACAACTGTGACAACTGTGACAAATTTCACCATCTGCACCAGTGCTTATAGCACAAACGTTAGCATCTTGAAAGCAGTTCAAAAATGAGTAGTGTTTGAATCCGCAATGCATTTTCGATGTAAGTGCTTGTTGAAGGATTTAAATCAAAGTCAAATATGCAGACATAGCACTCAAAGTAGGGTTTGTTTTATTTTGAAGGGGTCTATGAAAACCATCAACAAAAAATCTAAATCACAATTATAAATCGTCTTTAGTCTCTTTTTCAGTGCCACCGGATTTGAACCCAAAGTCTCTTGTAATCAACACCACTACCTGTTTATGCACACACAGTGACATGGCGAACAGGGGAATTACCCTTTTGCTGACATCTGATAAAATCTGTCTGACGGTCTACAGAGTCTACAGTGACACAGAATTGTTTCCAGATCGTAAGAAAAAGAGGAAAAGCAAAAAAAAAAAGAACTGTACATAATTAAGGAGTTTTAATGTTTCAACATTATGTCCAAAAACACTAAGGTAAGTAAGTAAGTAAGTTAAGCGTTATTTATAAAGAACTTTTTAAAACACACAGTTACAAAGTGCTTCAAAAACAAATAAATATAAACACACACATACATACACACTCACTGTATATATGTGCAACATATAGATATATACATACATAAACAATCATATTCAAATACTAACATGTGGATGAATACAGCAAGAATAAGAATAAGACACAACAAAAATAAGTAAACAAACACAGGAAAGGAGATTTATAAAAAGGATTGCCTACAGAGGTGGGTTTTGAGCAGCCGTCTAAAACGGTCCAAAGATTTCGAAAATCTGAGTGATTCCAGAGGTTTGGGGCTAAAATAGCAAAGGCACGGTCGCCTTTAGTTTTGCAGTTGAAGCGGTGGTTGGATAAAAGGTCTAGAATTGAGAAGCGGAGTGGTGGAGGAGTGGAATGAGGAACAAGGACATCTGAAATGTAACTGGGGGCAAGGTCATGAAGTGCCTTGTATGTAATCAGCAGGATCTTGTAGTTGATTCCTAATTTTACAGGAAGCCAACAAAGGTATGCGAGAACATGAGTAATGTGGGGCTGACGGCTGGTTCTGGTTAAACGTCTGGCAGGACTGGACAAGTGTTGTAACATGATGGTCAAAAGTCATGTCCTGGTCAAAAATAATATTCATGTCATGGAGGGAGGACAGTTGATTCAGGTTATCGTGTCAAGCAGAGAAGTAGATCTGTGTATCATCAGCATAACAGTGGTGTGACACGTCTTGGAAGCGCCTGAACAAATTACACAGAGGAAGCATGTACAGTGAGGTCATCACCTCTTCTTCATACCATGAAATTCCCATACAGCGATATGATATGATTTGATTTTGGAGCAATGTGAGGAGGAAAGTATTAATCTTAAAGCTGCACAAAATTATTTGAGGCCTCTACAGGGCTAAAAAGCATCAAGTCGTCATGACAGATAGACAGTCACTGCATGTCAGAGGCTTATAAAGCTTTAGGGCTAACATGTTAGTAAATAATTGCTTACTTACACTTCCAGCAGACATAGAGCAACATTAGCCTTCATTTGGGGGCGTGCATTTGACCAACAGACAAATATAAGTCCAATATTCACCCTTGGTCTCAGAAGAGAAAAATATCTGGTTCTTTAACTGCTAAATGTTTAACTGTTATGGTGAAAGAGTGGGTCTATCTGAGTTTTCTTTCCAGGAGAAAGCTGAAAATGAGGCTGACTGGAGCACTGAGGATGAACCATACAGCCAAAACAAAACAATGAGCTAAAAGAGGCTTAAAAATTGAAGAGCTGCAGAGTTTGGTAATAATTTTATAAAAACTGTGATTTTGCCATTAAGTAGAAACTTGTCCATTAGAGTTGTTGATTCTCACATTTCCCATAGATCAAGTTGTTATGTAATGCATATTTCAGACTGAGTAATGGCACACAAAATAAATCTATTATATTGGCCCGAAAATTAGACCACCCTGATTATAAGACAAATATTAGACTACCTTAATTATAAGATTAATAAAAGTAAAACATGAAATAATACCATTAAAGCAGATAAGAAACCCCATTTGTGCGGATCAGTCAAATACTCATATACTCTTCTCTCAGGCTCTTGACTTGATTTCCTCTGGCAGATAGCATTTTTGAGACTGCCATTCAGCTTTTTTGAGCTCCTTTCTTGACTGACTGATAGAGGATTTGGTCCCATTTGTCTTCCTGTAATAAAGATCTCGGGACACACCTCTTTTATTTCTGTGGTGATAAAGCATGTTGCACAAACCTTCAGGAACTCTTGTTGGTTAAACTGTCCTCACAAAACACTTTTTAAGGCCCGGACACACCAACCCGATTATCGGCCGTCGGACGTCGTCGGACAGTCGGGCGAGGTCGGTGACTCGAGTCAGTTTGGTGTGTCCCGTGCCGTCGTCAGTCGGCGTCGGCATTAATTTTGGCCGATTCGACATGTAGAATCGGCCAGTGGCCATCGGCCTCAATGACCAATCTGATTGGTGGAGTGCTAGCCCTTGATTAGCGAATCAGTGAGTGCAGGAGAAAACCGGAAGTAACGATGGTAAAACATACTACGCCAACGCCAGTATCTTATTATTATTATTAGCCATCATATTTTCCATTCAGCGAGTAATGTCAACACTCTCTGATGAAAACAATGACTGAAGACAGCGTGCTCTGTGTTTACTAGGTCTAGAGTGATCCGTCATTTCCGGTTTTCATTTTTTTGGGTGACAACACAGATTAGCTCCGCCTGCTGTTATGGGGACATATTACTCCTCGCGCACGTGCAAAACATACACTCCAGTCGGCATCGGTTTGGTGTGTTCAGAGGCACTTTTTTGACCGACTCGGGGAGACGGGAGCCGACTGATCAGTTCAACTGCTTTTCTGCCGACGGTTGGCCGTCGGGTTGGTGTGTCCTGCCCTTAAGGCTAACTGACTCTAAAAAACACACTATAAACTCACTTGAAGGCTCTCTAGTTTAGCAACATTAAAGCTACAAACAACCCGTGATGCAACACTCTGCAAGAAACTCCATTCAAAAAGAATAACAGATGTTTGTGAACATGTAATTGCCTAATTCTCAGATATAATACAACCCCGTCTTATCTATATATATATATATATATATATATATGTGTGTGAAGACATAGATTGTGTGTTGTGTTGACACATCACTAGCGTAATTACCATAGTAGAGGTAGTAGGAGAAAAAGACAATATTAAAGAAATGCAGTAGCCTACTTGTATTTGCATATTGTAATGGAATAAACTTACCCAGGATTAAGGGCGTTTCAGTGCTATGAAAACATTCAGTTCCTTCCCCTTTTTTTTGGATAAAAACTTTACCCGTAGATCAGAGGAAACGATACTTCTGTCAAGGTTTCATCTGTGTTTGTTGGAGTACATGACACATTTTCAGCATGCACCGCAGATCACTCCACCACTTTGTAATAGTGTACAAACACTAACATCCTGCTCTAAAACATTTTGTTTATGGACCATAAATAACAGAACTGATTCGTTAGTCACTGTTTGATTCAGTGAAGACACTATCAACTTCATGACTAGTGTCCTAACAAACATTTAGATATTTATCTGCTGCAGCTGTTGTTGGTGAAAACAGCCTGATTGCCTCCAAGTAAAACATAATGCAGAAAAATAAAAACAATGTCTTGGCTCTGGTCAAAGATATAATTCAAAAATAATGTGCAATGACTTAGATATATCTTGAATCAATAGCATTTCTTCAATAAATGTTTTTGTATACATTATTTGTTTTCTACAGCACTTACTTGAAATGCATTGAGGTTTTGCACAGCATCTTAAGTCTTGAAACAATTCAGTGGAATGTCTACGAGATGGGAAACAGAGGTTAAAAGGTGTCGTGACCACAAGCCAAAAGTACCTTTCAATGACGCAGTTGAATTTTCAAGTGCTTTTACTGTACGTAAACTAAGTGTGAAAAACAAAATCGATTAATAAAATACACACAGTAGGTCACTTATTTTGTAACCATTTGCATCCTCTTTGAAGTTCCAAAAGTATACAGTATATCTTTATTATCTATTCTGATTTATTCCTCAGTTAACTGCAAAGGAAGAATCCTATTTATATGCATATTTTTCTGTTAGTTAACACTTTTGCATTATTATTGAAAGGTGCTGTACAAAAAAACCAACCTAGCCTAAGAACTCTCCTTTAATCTAACAAATTGAATAAATAATTTAATCTCTGTATGTACACAATATGTCTGTCTTTCGACAACCGTTCATCTGATTGACTTCACACTTGGCAGATGTATTGCTGAGGACCCAATGGAAGTGCAGTGTCGAGTTTAGGGAAATTAGCCAGATTGATGCTATAACAACAAACCTTATGTTTTGGCTTGCAACTTTTGAACCCTTATAATAAATACTCTGAAATCGTTGACCACCTCACAAAGAATCAATACGGCTGTTAACTGTCAATATGTTCAATATGTTTTTGAAGTAAATGAACCTGCACAACTGACAGACTGTTGAAACTGTAAGGCATGTTGTTGCTCTGAAATATCTAAAAGTGGGAAGATAAAATTTCTTAAGAAAATAAAGGGGGCTTGAACTCCATCATGATTTTTGCAGGGAACAAATCCATCACGATTTAAAAGGTGATCATCTGTTTGGTATGGAACTCTAGCTGTTAAAACAAATATAGTGAAGTAGTAAAAGTAGAGAGATTTTACTTTACATGCCTGTACATGCAGACGTCAACGATGCAAACCATTCGACAGTTATGACCGCAAAGTCACGTCCCCGGAACTGTGCACAACGCATGGGGATTCTATGCGGTGTCTAAGACGAGTGTCGAGCGTGTCAGGTCGCTCACTGGTTAAATGAAACGCAGAGGAGGAGCTGCCGCCAGTGGCTCAACAAAAAACTCCCCTGTCAGTTTTGAGTGTGACAACAACGTGAACCGCAGCTCACAGTCTCGGAGCATCGCTTGCAAACCAAAAGCACCAGTGTAAACATCTTTATCCTGTGGATTGCTCGTGTTTTCATCAAGAACTTTGCGGATTATGGAGATTTAACTCCGCGCGTAAAAAGAGACATTTGGAAACAATGGATTTGCCTCTTGTTGGAGCACATGGAGAATGCGCTTTAATGGAAAGTGTCACTACTTCGGAAGTGAAAGGGGAACCTTTGACAAGTTTGAAACAGTGAAAGAAGTCCCTACAGCTATGAACTCCACGGCACCAACGGGAATTAAACCGCCCACCATCCCGGCAATTATGTTCATTTTCGGGGTGGTGGGAAATGTCATAGCCATAGTGGTTCTGCGAATATCACGGAAGGAACAAAAGGAGACGACTTTTTACACACTTGTGTGTGGCCTGGCAGTGACTGACCTCCTGGGCACCCTGCTGGCCAGCCCTGTCACCATCGCCACCTACATGAAGGGCTCGTGGCCGGGAGGTGAGCCGCTGTGCCAATACTCCGGCTTCATCCTGCTCTTCTTCTTCTTGGTCCAGCTCAGCATTGTGTTCGCAATGTCAGTGGAGAGATACTTGGCAATAAACCATGCATATTTCTACAACGAGTACATGAACCAAAAACTCGCTGCGCTGACTCTTTTGGCCATTTACATTTCCAATATCGTATTTTGCGCGCTGCCCAACATGGGATTCGGCCCGGTGAAGCTCCAGAACCCGGACACTTGGTGTTTCATCGACTGGCAGAACAACCGCACAACGGTCGTGACTTTTAATCTGATGTACGCAGGTGTGAATTCAGTCATCGTGCTGGCCACTGTCATATGCAACGTGATGGTATGCGGGGCTCTGATCCTGATGCACAAGCGGTTCATCCGCCGCACGTCTTTGGGCACAGACCAGCGGCGCATCGCGGAGCTCAGGCGTAGACGGAGTTTCCGACGATTAGCTGGGGCAGAGATCCAGATGGTGATCCTGCTTATAGCGACCTCCGCTGTGGTTCTCACCTGCTCCATACCTTTAGTGGTGAGTTCTGGTGAAATGGTGTAAACAGTAAAAAATAAGTGTGTACTGGATGTGCGTAAAAGGTTGTTTATGCGTAAAAATGTCACAGGTTTTGAAAGAAACATCAAATGTAATGCAAATAAAGTAAATAGATTGTGCGCCTTTCTAACACTGACATAAGTTAAACCCAATGAATGCAATAATAACAACTAACAATGGATGGTTAGTCATAGTATTATGCTACCTAAACTTTGTGTTCCAACTTTAGGTCTTTGTGGTTAGATGACACATTTATCTGAGGCATAAGTCACTAACATAAACCTGTGCAATCCTTTCAGCTGTTTACAACAACAGCATTTACAGAGGCCTAGTTTCGGTATTTGCATAGTTAGGAAAAATAATTGCTGCTCGTGAACTCTCATGTTTGCAAACAGTCACTGTGACTGAGAGTTTGCTCATTTTAGCCCTCATCGCCAGACTCCTGCGTTCAGCCTGAGCCACAGTGAGAGTTCCTCATGTGTTTGCTCATGCAGTGTAGAATGACAAGCAGACATTCCTGCATGTGTGGGGGCCAATGTTAGTGATCCGATTAAAGGAAAGGTTGACAGGTTGAAAACAGGTCCGTCTTATAACAACACTCAGGTATCCAAATGTACACTGACAGTGTTTGTTCCATTCGCCCTGTCCCTACCTTCCTTAACATGCTTCCAGTGGAAAAGGGGAACAACATTCACAGCCCCCATTCTATTTTACAATATGTTCCGAAGCTCAGCTGCAGTTAATATGAGGCTTCAGCATTCAGAGTTTAAAAGATGCTGTGTTTTTAGTACAAAGTCCCACCTTTGTGTTACTATCCTTTTTTTTTTTACTAAATAGAGTAACTTTGGGAGAAGCCTCGTAGTAACATCAGATAAACATTGGAATTTATTTTAGCACAGGGTTAGGGTTAGGGTTACAATGACTACACTTTTTTCCCATTCTCATCTACTGGGAGCATGTTAGACATGGATATTTTAATTCCAGTATGAACAGGGGAATGATTACAGCAAGCAAAACCTCCTCTAATGTGGGCACTGTTTTAAGAAAAACATATCCTTTAAAGACCCCACTTCAATTGATGACATGTTGAATATGAAGGCTTATGTGACCCTGGCTTTGTGATAGGATATGATTAGACCCTGGGGAAGCCCAATAGCCAAAGGCTCTCATATGATGAATGATGGTGAGAAATGGAACTGTTTTTATTGGCCTTGTGCCATCTCTACACTGCTGTGGCTACACACAAGTTACATTCAGTCAAGTGCCTTTTTAGATTGGTTTATCCATGCCAACCATGTAGGAATATGTAAGATAAACAATTGTTTTACTGTGAAATGAAATGTGGAAAGTTTGGGCTTGTGACAACACAAGCTCAGATTACCTGTGCATGTGAAATTCTTATCAATACTTGTTAAGTTACTCAGTTTATTTACCATTGCTGTTTTCTCTTCTATGCCATCAGTGGAGGATTTTTGCAAATCAGCTGTACAGACCGCAGAAAGAAGGGTTTCAAGACCTGCTGGCCATCCGCATGGCCTCTGTCAACCCCATCTTAGACCCTTGGATCTACATCCTGCTCAGAAAGACAGTGGTCCTCAAGCTGATGGAGAAAATTAAGTGCCTGTTCTGCAAAATGGGGGGACGGGGACGGAGGAATGGCGGGCAGTTCCGCTGCGCCGACGGCCGCCTCTCCTCCTCCATCGTCTCCCGGGATTCTCCCTCACTGGTGTCACGTGAGATTCAGGAAATGGTGAGCACCTCACAGACCTTCCTGTACCCATCTGAGGAAAACCCCAGGAGGTCATTTCAAGCAGGGGCACAGGGCGGCTCCAGTTCACCAACTGTACAGATGTTACAGGTCCGCCCACAGGACAAGGTCGTGGGGCCTCAGAGGGGGCTTTCACTGAGCAATTTAGAGGACACAGCGCTAGACAGGACACTGAATGAGCTCCCAGTGTGCCCCAAGGACCCGGCTCTACATGTGACTTTTACAGACGAGACTGTAAACATACAGGAGAAATGCATATGAGATAATGAGAGCACTGCAAAGACCTGAAAATAATGGACAGATTAATCATCAATCTGTAGACTAGACAGATGTATTACTGAATACCCATTATAAATGTATTACTCCTCAGTCATAACAAACACCATATCACTAAATACACTTCAGTACAATCACAACAGTTATACCAACAAAACCATGACGGTGTGGAGGAGCTATTTTGTTGCACTTTTTAAGAATTATAAAACCACTGCTAGGCTGTCAAAAATGTTTGTTTTGAGGCATTTGACAACCTGCACAATGACTGTAAAGAATTCAATGTTAAAATGTGAACCATGTTCGACGATGTTAATTTATTTCTAAGTATGAATTTGTACGTTATTGTCTTCTCTGTGAGAAGGTCCTGATAGTTTGGAGCAGTTTTAAATTGGTACAAGATGAATATGTTCATAGTTTTTTTTTTTTTTTTTTTTTTGGTACAAACATTTGCAAACAATTTTGTCAAACTGGTTGACATCAAAGTTAGAATCATCCCCTGCATTTCATAATAAAAGGCAGCTATACTGTGGCTTTTCCACAATAGACATTGGAGGAGCTTAAGAGGCCTCTTAAAGTAATGTCTTCATAAGAATTGTATAATTTACTGTTACTTTTAAAGGATTAATCTAACACAATCTTATTTCACCTTAATGGTATATGCAATCCCTCTCATCTAGACTTCATTGGGCAATTACGAAGGGGAACTGAAGACAATATTTAGTGTCTTGTCTGATAGGTTTAAAGATTTTGCCTTTCCTTACAGGGAAGATTTCCTGGTGTAACACAGCATTTAATCCTTGCTATAAAAACTGATAGAAGTATCTTGTTGAAGTTTTGAGACTAACGTTGTACCAAACTCATAAACAGAAAATAAATGTCGCTAAATATCCATATAAAGATGAATGTGTGTCCCTCTTTTGCCAGCTGAAGAAGTTCATCACAAAGTTTAGTATGACAGTGAAGTATGTGTGTAATCTCTGTTAGCTGAATATGAATGGTAAATACGTACAGTGTGCTGTGAAGTAGAAGGAAATAACTCGATATATATTTAATTTTGTTTGTTTAACGCTCCGAGATCGTGCATATATTCCAATCAGTGGATTAAGCAATTAGAAGATGGACAAAGGAGAAATGTAATCTGCAACTATTTTGATAATTTATTAATAGTTTTAGTCATTTTTTTAAAGGGAAAATGCACCTTTTTCAGCCTTAAATGTTCAAAAGGATTTGTGCTTTAGGAAATGCAGTGCTGGACATATTTCACTATTTCCTGACATTTTATGGATTATGAATTATCCGCATATTAAGTCCTATCTCCAAGACCTCTACCAGCAGCCGCCTCTAATCTTTGCTAGAAATGAAATATTAATCAGTCCTCAATAGAGTGACTTTAATGACGAACATCACAATTCTGTAGTGATCACTTGAGGTTAATGAATGGCACTCACATGTCACAGTCAATACAACTGATTCTGCCACAGAGTTGCACAAAGCAATCCACTAATTAATGGGATTTGCAGCGTGATTCATTTCTATGGAAAAACAGATGTAGATCCAGATAACCGCAATTCAAACCTGTCTTTAAATAAATGCTCTGCAATAACATTTGTTTTTGCCAGCATGTCACTGTCACGCCATATCCCTTTCATCTCTTTCTACAACAGCGCTGATGGTTATAACACATCTCTAACCAGTAGCCAATTGAGGTGGCATGGCACTGTGCACCTGCAGACAGATGGTTTCTTCAACCGGGAAGATTTCCAGGTCCATTGTGGCCGGGGTCCAGGGCCTGCCGAGAGCAGACAAACCTCCCTGTGAGATCAATATGCCATTAAAGGGAGCTCTGACCTCAGACGAGAAATCTGTTAAAGCTGCCACGTCTCTCAGGAGGAAGGGAATAGTGATTGACAAAACAGTTGTCATAGAATTTTAACAGAGGGCGAATGGAATAATGATTCTTCTGGGAAACCTGTCCCCTCTTTCCCCACCTCATCAGCTACACTACAGTATATGTGACAGGCTGTTTTAGACATTTAAGGCCATGCCATGAGGAGGCTGTGGAAACAATGGGCTGTTAGAAGAAGATGCCACTTACCAACAGTGAGTGTTCATGATGTGGTCGTTCAGCACAGGAATGGGGTTAAGAGGAACGGTGAATTCCAGGAAATGATGATAATGTTTGTACTATTGTATGTGGGTCAACGTTTGTTTAATGGTTGAGGTGCATGATGAAAAAAATAGGTCAGATTCAGGATTATGTTCAGGCTAAGATCATGGTTAGCATTACCAGAAACATCTAGAATATTAACATATGATGGAGTGGTGCAGCAGTAAACAAGACTAACAGTCTACAGCCATGCTATTAACTGTGAGGGCCCGACAACCTTCTGACCTTCATGATACCTTCTTAACATGCAGATGTCTATCATGTTTACCTTATTCGCCTGCTAAGTTTCTAAAGATAAAGGGATGACCAAAGTCAGTAGGACTCATCCTCTGGGAACCACGGATGTCTGTACCAATTCAAAATGTCCCTATTAAGACACAAAAACATGGGTCCAGGTTGAAAAATAGCGAAGTCACCCTTTAAGGGCTTCTACTAAAATGGTGTGTGTTCTCACACCAAACATACACGCAGCTGTAAAGTAGATGGAGGTTTGATAGGGCGGGAACAATCAAATTGATTTTTTTTTTTTTATTCTTTCAAATTTTCTATATGCTTAGTTTGTCTTCATAATGCAGTGTTATTGACTAACCAGCAGTCGGACCATGCAGTGTGTCTAACTGAAAATCCCACCCTGATTACACACAGGTGACCTCCATTTATCTCATTATGCAACTTCTAAACACTGTACTTTACCGGCAATGATTTGGGTGTGTCACAGGCAAGGGCGTGACGACTTTTATAATCATGTTTGCATGTTTTATATTTGTATTTGATTGAGATCTATTTGTAGACGTCTGTTCTTATCGGTATGCAGTTTTCTTTATTGACGTTTTTTACGTCATCTGTTTAACACTTTGTTATATTTAAAAATAAGGATGTGGCCTTGATATTTACTGAACAGACAGCCTAGCTATTGTTCTAATTACATACATGCCTGCCAGTGGTGCTGGCTAACCATAGAAACATATACAGCAATTCTGAGAATTATAATAATTCCTAAATTATCTCAGGACTTCCGGTGGCCCTTTTAATAGAAACTGAATTATTTCTATATTTACTCTGCCCTACAAAGCTGAGGAGCACCAACTGCTCGATAAGTGAGACTAAAAATATATTTTTTTATCTTCTATTGCACTGAAATGAATGTTACCCTTCACAACTTCTGGCCTTTAAAGCACACAGAAACCCTGGGTGCTACTGCAGTGTGCCTTTACATCAATCTCTGTATAGTTATACATTGATGAAATATACAAAAAGCTACAACAAAGAAATAAACATAATTCATGTCTTTACATTGCCTGTAGGGTCACGTTTCAGAAAGCAGGTTTAACAAAGTCTGAGCCTAACCCTGAACTCCAAGTTCACTACGGTTGAGCTGATCAGAGTTGGTTCAATAAGCTGAGTATGTTAAGCTCCTGAGTGGTGAATTAATTTATTATTTACCTGACTTGCATTTCCTTAATGGGTGATAAAGTGGTGGACCCATGTAGGCTAAGCTGTATGTAGCCTACATCAGCAACTGAAGATGAAAAAACACACACTATTATTTCACAAGGATGATTTGAAGGAGTATCAAGGCCTAGAGGGCACTTTACCACGTTTTATCTACCATAGGGGTATCCAAGAGGGCACTTGTTGCATCATTAGGGGACTACATTACTGAGAGCAAAAAAGTTCACCCAAATTATGAGATTCATAATAGCGGACAATAAATATAATGCAAACGCTCCAGCATTATCAAATCCATCCCCACCAGCACAGTAAGATTTTTGTTGCTGTTTTACAGTTTTATTGCAGCAACACAGTTTAACATCTAAAACCTAAAAGAGGATTTTTTTTTTTTATCTCAATCAACATGATCTAATCTCTCTGTATCCATTTTCCAGTGTGGAGGAGAGCTGTCTGGACTTATCAAAATCTAATCAAAATCAACTAATGGTGTTGGTGTTTTTCCTTTTACCTGTTTGGTTATTATGAGGCATTACAATTGAAATGGAAACAATGACTTGGTGTAACTAACGCCGTCAGGAAGGAAACATGTATACAGAGTACTCAGCAGCTTGTGGTTCTCTGTATCCTACGCCTTCCTTGCTACTATGATTAAATCTTGAGGTTTGTCTATGTAGCATATTATACAGAAGTGTGAATACATATGTGTCCTAGGGTGTTAACTGTATACGTTGTCCTTGTGCTTCAATACCGATGATGCAAACCAAAATTATGTTTTCAGCTAGCATGGCTGTCGATTCTTACTTACTCCCTTAAAAATCATTATAATGCTAACATTTGACTCAACCTTGGAACAACTTCAACTCTGCAAAACTGCAGCAAACAGAGAACTTTCACACATTTAGATTCATGTTTATTTTTCATTGACAGGTTTGAGCATGCATCATCTTTCACAAACACAGACACATGGACAACCTCACAGGTCATTTACATTTGACTATCACACTGGATGTGATCATTTCTTTTCCTGTATTTTCCTTTAGGACAATCCTCTACCATCTCTCTATCTTGATGCTGATTTGTGTTTTTATACCTTAATCTTGGAGGATACTAAATTCTGAAAGACTGATTTAATGTAGCATAGAAGAAAACAGCTTTAACATTATGGTTTGATTGTCTTTCTTCATAAACAGTGTGATTTGAACTATCTTTTATTTGTACATTTAAGTAAATTGAGTCAAATTTTAATAAACAATCCAAAATGAAAAAGGCTGCCAACTTCAACCAAGCACTGTTTGAAATTCATTAAAAACCTAGGGACTCTTGATAGATTCTAATGTAACCACAGTATACATTCACTATTAACTAAATGTGTTACTGTGCTATTCAGAGGAAACACTTATAACAATAAAGAGTCAGAACTAGAAATATAAAACTGTCTAGCTTCAACATCTTGGACGACTGGAACTGAATGTGACTGACAGTAAAAGAGCCAGAAAAGATAAAAAAATATCTTTAATCTTTATGTATGCGTGTAAAGGTTTACATGCACATTTAACGTAATTAACATTAAAGGAATGGGAAATGTAAAACAACAAAACTCAATTGTCTTTTATTCTGTTGCACATAAACCTTAACTAGAATTAGTCGGTTTTCATGGTTGCTTCTGAATGAGACTTTTTATGCCATAGCTTCACACACTCCCAGTGGTTTCAGAAATAATAACATTCAGTCCTAAAAAATGTAACCAGGACAAAAAAAAAAAACTAAATAACAAACAAACGGAGACCAGTTCAAAGTCCTCTTGCTTTGACAAACTTTTCCTTTGACGGTGTCGCCGTGTCCTCTGATCCCCTTTCCCCAGTGACTACATTTTTTATATTTCCCTCAGCGTCTACGACCACGGCGGTCCTCTTCAGCTCCTCGTAGCGTGTCTGTCGCTCAGCAACCGCCTCACAGGCAGCCAGCACCTCATCAGACTCAAAATCATACTCCTGTTCGAGCTCAGGGGCATTAAGGATCTGTCTTTTAGTCTCCTCCTCTTGCCGGATTTTCTCCTCGGTTGCTGAGTGCTGCTTCTGTAACCTGCATGCCCATGCAAGGTCTTCCTGCCAGAGGGTGCGCTCCGATGGGCATATGTGTATCGCAACCTGGAAGGACTTAACAGCCTGCAAGGACAGAACACCAAGAGAGTAAAACACGAGCTTTCATGAAAGATAAGAGTAATTGCTCAATCTGCCTGTGTCTCGCTGTAATTCTGACAGATGAATGATTAACGGCGTGACGCTCTTATTTGTGCAGCTGAATCAGCAGGTGGAGCATCATCGGCACAAGCAGGACCTTAGCATTCTTTGTGCTGTATTGCAGGCAGATTTATGGTTTCATTAAGAAGACATCGATATCTCTTAGCTGACTGTACAGTTGTAGATTGATGTGAAAATTATTGTGCTATTGAACAGAAATACAAATGGCCTCCGATCGTTTATTGGACCTTTAGCTGCGCTGATTAGCTGCCTGGTGATATAAATCCATTGCTACGTGCTATTTGAGGTGCCTGATGGGCTCCTAAATCAATTCGGACACATCTGAAATCTGTTAAGTGAAAAAGTGTCCAGAGGTCCATGTTAATATGGTAAACTTCTCTTAACAATGACCTTTGCTGAACACCTATCTTGTTCAGTAGTTCACCAAATCACACTTTAAATTGATTACTTTTGCATGAAGTCAGTGTAATACCTGGTATGTGTCTCATACTAAGGATTAAAAGTCAGGATATCTACTTGATTTTCTGTCTCTCGCCAGTTCTCCCAACTCTGGACACCTCCAACAAAAGTCCATCCAAAATCCAATACTTCTATTTACCTATACGTTGATTAAATATGTATCTGACTGGTCTAAAATGATATGATCTGATATGAATGGAAGTTTAATGTGCAATGCTAGTTCCTTTTAGCTAGGAAAACACATCACTCTGTAAGAGTTGCTGGAACTACAAAACACTATTGCACTTGTGATTGGTCAGAGTTTCTTAATGCACTGTCATCAAGTTATACACAGAGTTGAAGTTGAAGAGGAGAGCAGCGCTGCAGCAGTAGAGTATGATATAGTATGGATCGTACAGTAGTACAGGCACTACGTACAGATGAGGTTGCACCTGTTCTCAGTGATGGTGAGAACAATTCAATGTCAGCCATAGAACAATAGCTTCAAGGCCAACCTGTCATAAAACTGCTTTCTTTTATGACAAATGTCAAGCATTTGATGGCCGCAACAAAAACAAGCTAAGCAAGTCGGTCTATGTTCAGTTTAAGGAACTTGTTTCTGTAAGACCCACTTTTTTCGATTAGCATTTAATTCTGACTAGGACAGTACTGTCTCTTAGGTGTACTCTTTTTATCTGCTCCTCTCTATGCATTTCTGGAAGGCTTTTAATACCCTGCAGTGCTGCAGCACTACAGCACTTTTAATTGTATTTGTATATTATATATGTGTTATGTATTGTTTCATGGCTTTGTTGTAAAGCACTTTGGGTACCTTTCGGCTATTGTAAAGGGCTATACAAATAAACTTGATTTGATTTGATTTGATTTAAAAATAAACTGGTATGAACCTAATACCTGATTGGATTCTATGCAAAATTCTTCTTATTAACCTTTTCATTGGAATATCACATTAAACAAACATCGCTTAACTGTTAACATTCCACACCTGTGACACAAATAACCTGCAGAGTCAGGTTCAACTAAAAACGTCTTTGACAGGCTAACTGTAATAGATGTGCCAGAACCAACAAATCAAGTTTCATTCTGATCAGAGTATATTTCATCAACTCTTTATATTGAAAGTAATATACAGACAAAACGCTACAGGAGGCGGATTAGCCGGCTTCTCTGTGAAAATTGTGGCCGAAAGAGAACTTAATGATAATAATCAGACGATGAATGGCAGCAGAGCTGTCATGCTGCAGTGTTGCCAATGTAAGTTTCCACTACTTAAAAAATCATTATGAGGTGTGACAAAACTGAAATCAGAAGCTATATGTTTGTTTCGTTTGGATATTTTCCACTTTCCTCAAGTAAGACAGAGAAGTGGAAATAAAAGAAGAGAAAGAAAAGACCAGAATCGCTGCACTCACATTTGCACAAACAGGCACTACTCAAACATGTTGATGCATACAAAGCTCTAAAACTCGACTGAACAAGCCTAGCTAAAAATAGATGAGCGTTTTCCCCCCTTCCTTCCCAATAGTTTCATTATACAAAGAGGTGTGTCTATATTTGGTTTAGTTTTTGCTAAAGAAACTTCACTTCCCATTGTTCTCTTGGTGCCGTAGGACAGGTCTCTTGCTCTAGGAGTGACACGCAGTGCCATTAGCTGGAGGCCTACGGAGTTTAACCCTGTTTGCTTGGCTCTAAATGGGGCGAATGGTGTAACCGTGATCTGCAGGTTTCGTACACCCACAGGTCCTGGCATGTTCTGGGGCAATTTAAGCAATCGTCCAAGCCCCAGGCTCCTGGGTGTGCTTTGGAAGGAGGTACCTCATCTCAGAGGCAAGACGCTTGCAAAAAGTAGTAAACAGAAATAACTGACGCATCTTGACGGCTCTTCAAAAACGAAGACACAACTGATTTATAGTCAGCAACAATAACAGGTTGAACTGAAATGGGGGCACTCCAATTAAGATCATTAGTGACTGACTAAGTAAGAAGCCATCAACTTGCTATGCAACACTGCTGCGTAAATCGGTAGGTCTATACATGCCAGCTTGGATTTTGGTGTTTGTACCTGCAAAATGGCATTTTTCGATCACAACCAAGCAATGCATTTGGTTCTAACCGCAGTGAGCACAGTCTCAGCCACTGCTAATACACTGACATGTGCAATTAGCAAACAATACGTCATTGTTTTTTTTGTCTCTTCCCGCTATGACTCACAAATTCCCATCTAGTAGTTGTACGTAGTCATTTGTTTGCAGGCCTCGATAGCAGTTGGACAGCTTTTGCAAACATACTGTACTCTTATTTGATTTCATCGTGACTGTCCTGCCAGCCATACTCACCAGGTCCACCTCTCCCAGGTTGAGCTGGGCACGGCCCAGAGTCTGCCAGCCCTCCCACCAAAGGGGGCGGAACTTCACTGCCATCTCCGCTGCCTTCACAGCGGGGAACACCTCCTGCAGAATGGTCAGTACCTGTGGACAAATATGACGTGGTTCAAGACCGGTTCAATCGGTCTATAATGAGCACTGAGTACCCTTCACAATGGAGAGAAGTATGATTCCCAGTGTTAACACAGTAATAAATAAAATTAATTTTAATTCGTATTGGGTTGGTCTGGTCTACACAGGACATTTTCTTCCGTTTAATGCACTAAAGTGGTAGTGTACTGGGTAACACAGGTGACCTACACTTACGCCTGGACACACTCTGTGTAGACACTGACGGAGGACTAAACACAGCTGAGAGCGTATCATAGCTGGTCCACAAACTCCATCTGGATAGCGCCTGTTTTCAGTGATATTTCACGCTGACTTTCCAGCAATTTAACCGCTTTGATCGACTGATTGGCCACTGCAGCGTGCTAGTTACTACGACAATCTCTTGCCCAATAAACACATAGTAAAACAGTATTAAATCAAACTAAATAAAATATTGGAGAGCACAATACAAAAAAAAAGTTTCCATATTTCATAGCATGTTCATGATGTTGATAGTCAATATTTTCCAGTTTTATAAATTCTTTGTGGTGTGTAGAGTTGAACAATTGGTTGATAAACAGAACATTTGATTAACACAAAATGAACCGTCAACAATAACTGAATAAGTAAAAAAAAAAAAGATACATTTCTTTGGGTTTTGCACTATTGGTCAGACAAAACAAGACATTTAGAGATGTTATCTTGGTAATCTGTGATGGGTAAACTATTACTAAATAAACTATTTTGTGACATTATAGAACCAAACAATTAATTGGGAAATGAATCAGCAGATTCATTTTGCTGCCCTGGTGATGTAACTCATTCAAGTATAAGAACATTGTATAATATTATTAGTCATGTTCACATTACTCTCTGTGATTTACTTATTTATGCTCACATTTAACAGTGTTGCACTAACCTCATTAACCTCTTCAACCTTGCCAGAGCCAGATGAGTCTTATAAATCATCTTTTATTCAGACACAAAGTGGATAAATGCATGCAATTTTATAGTGGTACTTTTTAATCTTGATTTGCTGTCATGTAGGAAGCAACACAGTTACTGAGAAACTCTGTATTGCTTCTACAGTATATATAGTATATACAGCATATAGGTTTAGATTTATGTACTTATGTACTACTTTTGTACTTTATGTACTAGAACACTTACTTGTGAAAGTGTGACCTCAGAGTACACCATGGTTGTTTTCAGTCTCACAATGACACATTTTGTCCTTTGTAATCTGTCTGTGCATTTTCGTCTGAGACACTTTTAACCAAAGAAACCACAAAGGGTGGGTAGCAGCGCCTCTTCAGTGTTTCTCTGTAGCACTTCAATAAGAAATTAAGATGCAAGAACAGCACCAGTTCCGAAATATAACAGTTTTATCACCACCTTAATAACCATGCATCACACAGTCATATCCACTGATAAAAACTCACCATAACACTGACAGTTTTAATGACCAGCTAAATAGGAAGAAAGTGACGAGGGGAAGTAAACGACCAGCATCAGTGTAACATCCTCGTCATCTGGGGCATGTAATGGGAATATGATGAGGTCCAGCCTATTTTTAGCCAAATTAATGTGAGTAACATCCACACTGATAATGGACACTAATAGGTTATATGTGCAATACACGTGTATTGAAACACATTTGGAAAAAACGGAAGTCTGTGCTACAACTCAGTCATGGTGTGGGAGAAAAATCCTTTTTGAGGTGGCCTGGTCCTCTAATGATTTCCTTCTCAAATGTCTTATAATGGACAATATTATATTAGGCATACAGAAATCCATGTCATGTGATCGGTTATGACTATAAGGAGAGATTTTATTGTGTTAGCTGTACTAAATGAATAAGAAATAATGGAAAGAGCTCTACTCGTCTGTCTACCTCCTCTTGACTTCACTTTGCACAAATATATGGGAACCATTTCTTCAAAATTCCTATGTTAAAAGGTAAAAGGGAAAGCGGCAGCTGAGGAACGACAGCAGAACAACAAAGACATCAACCCAGAGGAAGAGGAAGTGAAAGGAACAAGAGAAAAGAACAAGGAAATGGAGCTATAAAAGAGAAAACATTAAAGCTATAGGAAACATGCTGCAGACTTTCAGTGGTGTCATCAACATGCTGATATCACATATCTAGCTTAAAAGCATACCAAAGTGGCAGCTGAAAGAGGGTCTATGTGACCATGATGGCTGATAAAAAATCCCACACGCAGTCCACAAGCAGGGATGTGTAGAAATGCATCATACAGAGTGCGCCGGTGGCCACTAGCATTCCCAAACCGCAGGACATAAAGGGAATATGTGTTTAGGAAGCTTGAAATTTCAAGCTGCAAAAACAAGCTGCAGCACGTGATTGATGTGTTTCACGTTGGCTATGAGTTCTTTAGTATATCCTGAACACAAAACCCCAGTCACATATATTGTCATATCCAGATGTAAATCTACAAACAGCAGAAACATACACTGCACTAGCCAAGTGGTTTAAAGGCAATTTTAACCACATTTACCAAAAGACATGCCATTTAAAGGAGAGGCTGACATTTTTGTAGTCCATCTTATCTCCAGCATTTTTGGTCGCTGTTCAGACTGGCTGTCAACAGATCCCTTCTTAAAGCAATTTAAATTTGGGAGAAGAAACTATAAGAGACGAAGAATCAATAAATACAGTGATTTCAGCGTACATATGGGTGTGTAATTATTGATTTTATATATCAAAGTCTGTTTAAAGGTCTTGTGGGGGGGGGGGGTAACTACTGCAAATGTGGAAAAAATTGTATAAACCTTGTTGTGGCACCAGACGGAGTGGCGCAACGTTGGTTTAAAAATGAAAAATATTTGGGGGTGAGGAGTTGAAAAGTGAGATTACAGGACTTCTGTAGCCCATTTCTTCTCTCTGCTTAAGGCTAGCACCTCAAAGCTACATTAGCAGCTACTAGCATGACACACCCGAATCACACAAACACAACTGTCCACGGTTGAGTTCAATTATGGGAAATGTAGCCAGCATGTTTTGACATGGAATAAGAATGAGTGGATTTCATTTTTATACTCTCCACTGTGAATCCAACAATGTTGTACTATTTGAAGACAGATGAGAAAAATTCTTTCAAGAAAAAAAGCAGTAGATTTAATAAGTATGATGAGAACATTTTTAAATAATAAAATATAGGTTGATAATATACCTGAGACTTCATCTCATATAGAACTGGGTTGTCTGGAGTCAGATGAATGGCCTCGTCCCACTTCTTAATGGCCTCCCAGTGCCTGAATAAAAAAAAACATTGTGGTTCAAATACACATGGTAGAACTGGGGGATTAAACACACAGAAAGAAACCATTATAAACCATTACCTGGCTGCTACTGGTGCACTGTATACTGGGGAAGCATTGCAGTGTGATACACTACTAAACAGCCATGAATCTGAATTATTTATAATGCATGAATGTTTGTTAGCTATTATTTAAAGTTACCCAAAGCTATTAATGCCCTACACAGCGCTGCACTACATGACGGTAAACATGGCTTTGTATTGACTTGGCTGATATTCAATTCTTTGCACAATGCAACGCAAAATAATGACAAACTCAAATAGACAAACACATAAAGGAGGACAGTTGGGCCCTGAGATTTGATACATGTTACCTAACCAAACGCAGGGCGACATGTTTGGTCAGTGGGTATCGTGAAGTTATTCTCCCTGGTCATTTAATTTCATAGAAAAGTCAGGAAACCTAACCCTAACCCCCTTTCCCCAATCCCGTGCTTCCATTCTTGTATATGCCTTCTGAGAAGCTGAGATAGATATACTTTCATGTCATGTCATGTTTCAGATAAAATGTTCTAAATAGAATTGACTGATCTTGTTGTTTTAACGACGATTATGGCTCCTAGAATTCTATGCTACACGGGCTTTTAGACGCTGTAACACTGCCAGCGGACTCCACAAGGCCTGTCCACTTGTCTGACAGAGTACACAAGGATTGCAGCAAGCTAAATAAATCCACAAAGGCCCACTGAGATGGGAAGCCTGTGTTTTCTTATCTGAGCTAGACACTGATTGGCTAATAGCGCCTTTTCAGACACACAAGAAGAAAAAAAAAAAAAATAGGGCAGAAGTCACGTTATGCGTGGCCTTACCACTGTAGGCCACGGATCTGTTTGCATAATTTGTTTGCAAGGGTTCCGTTTTTTTGACAAGCAGATTTTGTCACTTTTTCAACACACTGACTGTACACGCTCACTCTGACAACCCTCTCCTCCTAAAGTCAATATGGACTCAAGAATCATTTCAATAGCCTGATTAAGACAAAGGGCATGGAAAGATTATGAGGTGAAATCCTGGGTTCGACAACAAAATGTGTCTGTCGTCATCTTTTATAACTTAATGGCCAAGGATATCATGAAAAATTCAAAACCAATTAAAAACCACACAATGAGACCATGAACACCGATCAGTTATAAAACTCGGATTACAGCCGTGACCATGATCAAGCCAGGGAAAACATATACCGCACAGGAGTTGAGGAAATGGAACTAGAGCAGTGTGGAAATCGTACCAAGAGATGAGGCAAAAGACACTGCAAAATCATATGAGGAAATTAGGCAATAAGTAATACAACACATGAGGACTGGGGGGGTAAAACTGACAGCTCTACTGTTATCGCAACTCTATACTCAGGCCAGAGGGAGAGGGAGAGACAAAGAATAAGATAAAAAAGAGACCCGCAATCATTGGAATGATATAAGTGCACTCCCATAAGTAATTTGAAGTGACATATTTGCAGCATGTTTTTGTGCTGACATGGGAAGATGGTGGATACATTATGACCGTTTCACACACTTCTGTCCAAAAGAAGGAAACATCCCCAACACATAGTTATGACGACAATACTAAACACATAACTGACTAATCTGAAAACTAGAATTACCGCCTCATGGTTGTATGCATCCACCAAGCAGTAGAGTTGCAGTTTATATGATGATGTAGTGAAGACTTTGAAGGAATTTAATAACAGGTATTTGTATTTTTAATCTATATTTTGATATGTATGACTCCAGTTAATAATTTCCAGTGAGAATCATGTCGTCTTCACTTACAGGCTTTTTTTTTTTTTACTGAGGAATACAGAGGACCGATAGAGAGCTTTGTCACATATCCCAACGACAATCACCTTAAGCTCAATATCAGGAAAACCAACGACCTTCTGGTGGACTTCCAGAGAAACAGAAAGGCCCCTGTCATGCTTTTCATCCAGGAAGAGGAAGTGAAGAGGGTGAAATCCTTGGGTCCAAATCAATAAAAAAAAATAATAATACTGAAGCCCTCTTCAGGAAGGGACAAAGCAGACTGTTCTCCCTGAGGAGTCTCAGGATATAAAACTGATTTAAGTTGACTTTGTTAAGCTTTGATGTTATTGGTTCGCCGTTTGTGCAAGTTCCTTGGAAGAAACAAAAAACTGTCAAATTCCCCATACCAGGCCTTCAGAGGATGCTGAATGTTTCAAATTGCCCCCCAAGCCAAAAAACATCTTGCAAGCTTTAGTCTAAAAAATCTGACTCAGCACGGAAGCTGGAACTATGTGGAGGATGATGATGTGACTTGCTTCCTCGGAAAACTCCCACACCTCCTTCACTCCAAGGAGCGTTTAACCAATATTACTACTACAATTGTCAAGAATGTACAACTGCACGCCCTATTTTTTCATCTCAGTGTTTCTTGAGAAATTAAAATTTTCCAAAACAAGTTTTTTTTCAGTTTGCATGGGTTCAAGCTGATGTCTCAGTGAAGGAGAGACCTGTCAATCATTTTCTGTACAACCTATTTGAAATGATGGTGTCGAGCAAATGCCCATTGAGTGTTGCTATTACAGTCTTTGCATGGCTATTACAAATAATCAGAAGCTTAAAGACTCTGGAGTGAGCTTAGGTCTACTCTCATTTCATTGCTGAGCAATAAATAATGGCCCAGAATAAAGCCGCATTTACTAGTAAATGTTTAGTCTGCCTTGCATAATGTTCTTTCTGATTGTTTGTTTTGAATGTTTCTTCAGGCATTCATTTCTCAGTCAGACAAGCCTTTTCAACAATGACAGGGCTGTCAGTCATCCTTGTTAAAATTCTACTCTGCACAGCAGCAGATATTACAGAAAATGTTCTGGTGTGCTGCTGTATGAAGATGACTGTGTCTGTAGATAGTTTATAATTCTTCTGTACTTATATGATGCAAAATCAGACATACGGTTAAAAAAGGTACACTGCCAAATCTAGCTTAATATTGACTCTAGTTGCTGAAACCTTGGTAATTTTGAGAGGAAACTGGGTCTAACTGTGGCCCTCGTACATTTACATAAAGAAATATCTACTGACCTTACAAATGCAGAAAAACTAGCAACAGCTACTTCTACCTTCACTGGCCCACCAATGCACACGATGTGACCCATGAGGAGATTCAGATCACAAACAGGTACTAGAGGAGCTCTTCAATTACATCAGCAGCAACCTTGGTAATGATAGACTGGCATCAGAGGATGTCGTAAGAGGAGAAGAATCCTGGCTGACATCGCCGACCAGACATCATCTCAAACCTCCGAACAGCCATTACGGAGCACCAGGAAAGACATAATTTCCTCCAGCAAAATCCACTTTCTGCTTGCAAATACAATTACAGGCAGTCAGCAACGTTAAATCTACCAGACTGGGGGGAGTTTCACAAAGTGATTGTTATTGGCTAAAAAGTTAAATTATTTTGGAAGATATATCATTACAATTTCTGAATGAGGCCCGTTTTGTTTTCTTTACACAAAAGGTAGCGGAGTGATTATTTTGCACACAGTATAAGGCTAAAGGTAGTGCTGGAAGTCTTCTTAAAAATCACAGGGGGTGCTAGAGTACATTGTAGGAGCAATTTAAATATGTTTCTATCCCTTTCTGGCCCGAAATTACTGTGGTTATACCCATTTACTGATCTCATCCTGAGAGGAATACAGCTCTTTGGCTTTTGAAATCCAGAATTTATACAAGAACATATCATTGCAGACACCAAAACACACCTTTTACTTTCACAAAAAAAACATTAAATAAGATACAGAGAAAACCTCAAGCTTAGATGACACTAGGTTTACTGTGCCTGGGAAATATTTATTAGCAAGCCAATACAAGCTATTAGCTGTGTTAGATGGGTCTCTGTGAACTGTACAATGGTGCCCTCCAATGGAAGATTTCTAATATCACACGTCAATAGTTATTGTTGTGCTCCTTTAGGCTATTCTACAGATAATCGAAGTCCACCTTTTCATCAACCAAAACACATAGGAAAAGCTGGAAGCACTCTCCTCTCCCTCCTTTCTCACTGTAAATGTCCTAACTGCTTGTGTTTAGCAGATCCTGCTTCAGCAGATGAGCAGCTGATGATTCACTGTCTATGGTAACAGCCCTTTACGGACAGCATGCAAAGGCGTAATTAAGCCACTGCTCTCCTATCTAGTCTAGCACACAGACAGGAAGCCCTCAGTATCATAGAATCAAATAAGATTCAAGATGTAATCCTGCTTGCTATGGAACTGGCACAGAGTACGCAAAATGTCTTTCAAAAGGAAATAAAAGCATATGCATAAAGCGTGTTTGTTCACCACCAGCCCATATTCAATGCCTAGGATTTAACAGTACACTGTGCATTTTTGATGGTTGAGTTATAACCTGCAAAAGAAAACCTACCTAATCCCTCCACCCACACAGCAACTAATAGTTCTATGTAGAACTCATGCATGCCTCTGTATACAAGCAGTTTAACAAAGAGGTTGCAAAACTGACCAAATAATAGAGGTTTGTCTGCTATGATTAAAGCTGTCACTGACACGACGTGCACACCGCATGCACAGAAAAACCTGCCAGCTTTGTACAGCATCCCTCACCTGCCTTGCTCAGCCAGCTGTGCACCCTCGTCCTTCAGCCTCTTGCTCTTGGCTGCACAGCCCTCCAGCAGGATCTCCCGCCGTCGTTTGATGGCGTGCAGCCAGTCCACATCCTCCTCCTGACTTGGACCATCATCCTCAGCCTTCTGTGCCTCAGCCTCAAACTGCTGCACCGCTGACTTTGAAACCTTCTCCCCAACTTTCCTCTTCCAGCCAAATGAAGCCATCCTGTAGGGGAGAAAGGGGGATGCGGGTGGTTGGTGGGGGCGGTCACAGAAACATTACCTCATCTGAACTCAGTATACACTCAGTACTAGAATGAAGTATACTTTTATTTTGAAATATGAGAAAACTTGCATAATGTTGTTAAATTACAAGATAGTCACGTAGCTTATCGTCACCTGGAAACTTAGACGTCTACGTTTTAGCACGGCTGCTACAGTTAGGTTTACCTCATATGGGCATATATATATAACTTATATAGTTATATATATATATAAAACAACGTACAACCCTAAGACTAGTTCATAAACAGACCCCGTCAAAACAACGCTAGCTAAAGTTAGCCACAGCAACCAAGCAGTAAGACAACAGTTGACACCTCAGTACGTTAGCTCACACGTAAATAATTTTAACATAACATATTCCACATTGTTATTTAACACAGTGAAATGTTCTCAGGAGGGAAGGTATACGCACAGACTGCTAGTTTCCCGTGGGTTAAACAAGCTAACGGAAGCTAGTGCTTAGCCATATTTGGTGACCCTTCAGATTTGTGACCCGGAAGCTGTGGAAATGTTTACATCGTCTCTTAAAGAAACACGAACTTCTTTTTAAAGTTGAGGTACGAGCATGTTAACGATGCGATATATGTATTTTTAAACATCTATATTTTACTATAAAAATACTGTTATTTTTCAGGGAATGTTACTAAATGTAATGACTGACGCTTAATTTTTCTCCACTAGATGGCACCACAGACATGACTCAAAGTTTTACATTCATAGTGTAATGTACTTCTAAAATGATAACATTTCTTGTTTAAATTTATGTTGCATTTAACCATGCAGCATTTACAACATTTTATAACCTTTACACATTTTTTAAATTGCATTTTATATTGCTTTTTTGCTATGTCTAGGTTGTTCTCTTTACTTGTGTTGTTACTGTGTGTAATGCTGCTGCTACACTGCAATTGTAGCTTGGGATCAATAAAGTATATCTATCTATCTATCTATCTAAATGCAGTGAAAGTGCACAATATTCAGTTTCCTTAGCACTTAATTGATACTATATTTCAAGTTAAATTTGACCTAATCTTTCCTCAAACCCGTCAAAAGACAAGTAACATACAGAGAAAGTTCAGCAGAATTGTGTGCAATTTAGCAGTTTATTAGGCAGTTGTGTATACAAATGACTTCAACACTGTCCTCTCAGATTTACACTGGTCCATCTGGTAGGGTCCCTTTACACGTCAAACAAAAATAGAACAATATTTCTTTGAAGCAGTTCAGGTAGACAGAAATGATCTGCTAACAGTCCCCTAGGACACTACTCCATAAGCTGTCAAAAAGGTCACAGTTTCACACATTCATCTTGCCTACAAACCTGATCATGAAACCCATGAAAGGTTTTGTAATCAAAACTTGCAACTGCCCTTTAAACTTAAAATGTTTAGTTTTACAACATCTTTCCAAGACCATAGTGTGCGTTTCTTTACCATGATCACTATATTTTATAAACTCTAGTTTAAAACTGAGACAAAAAGGTCAAAAACCAACTAAATAATTCAGTCCACACCTGCCTCGAAAGACAGCAAGAGAAATAAGATGATCATAATTATTGTCACTCTTGGCAATTTTTGTTGAATATCTCTGAAATGTAAAATCGTTTATACAGACAAGATATTCTACATTTTTTAAAGCTGTGGGGAGATAAACACTGGAAACAAAGACTTCAGCGACTGCTAATACCCTTAATAAAAATATTGTTTGTGTCTGATTTTGCAATGAGAAAGTTGTCTAAAACCTGGTATAATTGATTAAAGACAAATATTAAGATAATTAAATAAGAAACCATTTTACCTTTAAGGTTGCTTTGTTTTTTTCTTTTTCTGTAATTAAAAGGTGGTAGCAGTTACTGAGGTCCACAATAGTTTGGCAACAACATAATCAGATGTTTTTTGTTTTGCAGTTAAGAATTTTCTTTTGTCATGCCAAGCCATATGAATAATATGTGAATTATAAACAAACAGTACGTGTGAATTAACAAAACTGGCATCATAATTTGTGGACTTTAAACCCTTAAAATTGCAAAAAGGTGCCAATAATTCTGACCAGCACGGAATTCAAAGTTTTACTGACATAAAAACTGTATTTGACAGTACTGATAATGATAAGGCAGCCAAACAATAGACACCACTTAAAACTTTAAGACTGTGGACAGGAAATGGAGGGAGATGCGTCATACTTGTGAATAAAGAAATATTGAAGACTTTGTGAGCTTGCAAGTGTCAGGTTCGGTCCAACATTTTTATCAAATATAAAGCCACACATTTATCTTCATCTTAAAGCTTGTGTGATGTTTTTTTCTTCTGAATCAAAATTGCGATCTACCCAGCAGGACTTTACAATTCCTAGCTCAAAAGTCTGTTTCATGTTCAAACATCTGAAACCTTTTTTGCAAGGTCAACCTTCAAGGGAATGTGTGGGCAAATCAAAACACAAACATATCCATAAATGGTAATATTTTGGATGTATTCACCTGCCAATAGACATTGTCCATGCACTGCATGAAAGTACTACTACTTATTTTCAAATTGAGCCCTGAGGCCTATACACTTGTGATGGATTGGCATTTACAAATTGAATGTAGGCAAAAGGCATTTCACTCAGTAATCATACTCAAATCCTAATCCTTAATCTAAAAAAAAAAAAAAAAAAGAAAAAACAAGAAATAGAGAAATTATAACAAAAAAAGTCAAAATCAACTTGTCATTTTAATATGTGACACTGAAAATGATATATTTCTAGATTTTGACTGTCATGGCAAAATACCTCTTAAATGGTAAAAGCAGGCTATATTTATCTGGAAAGACAATCAAGTATCAGAATAATTGTGATTGAAGGAAACAAAACAGTGATATTGATTTAAAAACCAGACAGTAAAAAAGGAAAATATATACCATCCAGCAATAGATCTTAATGCAATAAAGAAAAAAACAATTCCATTTCCAATAGAACCAACACTGCGTCCACTTAACGCACTGATAAATATATTCACGTCTTTATATATAAAAATGTAGGGGACAGACAAATTCAAACAAATTTTTACAACAAGGACAAAACCATGACAATTTAGTCTCTGACGACTCAGATTCTCAAAAAAATTAAACCAAACATAAATCTGATGAAGCATTCTTTTGTCCCTGACGCAAGACAGAAACACAAGGGTCACTGCACTTTTTCAGAGTCCAATGAATGTGATGGGCATGAAAACCCTAGTTATAGCCAGTGCAGTGCCCCGATACATCTGCATCACATCGCTGATCCCCACTGAGAGAAATACAAGAGCAGCAGGAAATAAAAGATACTTGTGCAAAAGTGCTTCCTGCATCCTATACGACTGCCACCCAAATGCCAAAGCCTCAACGTGTGGCTTCCCTCTCTGCAGGCAAAAACTCGATCTTGTCCTCTGTCCTGGAAAGCAGCGGTCACTGGCTACAGTACAGAAAAATTCAGTGTAATCACTCTATATATGTATAGGTGGGATGTGGGCATTTGTTATTAAATTGATCAGAAAATTGTAAAACCCCCTCTTAAATGTTGTTCTGTCCTAGCTATTAAGTAGCTTGTCATTCATCTTTTCCAGTAACCCCTTCCATTCCCTGCCAGCTCAGTATACATCTCTTCCGCTTAGGGAACACTAAACTGCATCAGTGCCATGGAACAATCACTTCATCCTCAGCTGGGATGAACTGAGCCATGAATCGGTTGCATGCTTATTGCTATAAAGACACTCGGAGAGGAAAAAAGGCTAGCGATTGTTTTGCAAGCTATCGTGCAAGTAGTTTAATAAGATTTGCACACATCTCAAAGAACTCGATGGTGTGGCTTCCTGGTCGAGGGACAGACGCGTTGTCCCCACCTCCCGTTGAGTCGATGGATGAGGTCAACGATGAAGCTAAGGAGCCTTCTGCGGCCTTGGTGGAGTGCACAAGGCTAGATATAGCTGGGGTGTCTGCCCCCTCTACATCATTCTTAATAGTGGTGCGGTAGTTGCCCACAGACCCAGAGCGGAGAGGTGTAGCAGTTCCAGATTTAGTCTCCAACATATCATCTGAATAAACACAAGACACAGAATGTTTTCTACTAAATACACAACAAAAACAAAGCTTCATTGTCATTACAGGTCAATCCATTAATATGCCCACATACAGATCCTTGGGATCGGCTTGGGACATCTCTAAATCACTGTATATACTGCTGGGAAGGACTGAGAAAAATGGGGTATAAATATCAACAAATTCATGCGCGTAATAAATAATTGTAGGCCTGAATGTCTGTACTGATTTTATGTCATGAAGAAGTTATTCAATTACATTCTATGTGCTATTAAAAAAGTCTTTAAATATAAATTGATGAACACGGCAGAAACCCTGAATAACATCCTGGCGATCAGCTTGAGATATTCTGCATTTCTGAGCCACCAGCCTTCCATTCCTCTAAGCCGTCAGTTAGAACTGCAGCTACACAAAAACACTGTGGCTGACTTTGCCTTTGCCTGAAGTCAAAATTTTGTCTCCTACCCTTTGCACCGCATACCTGTTCTACGTTAATGGCCTATAACAACACTCTTATCTCATATTTTCTTTTGAGGTGCCGCTGCACACCTACACAGACTGTGCAAAATCCCAAGCCTTAAACCTTGAAGTAAATCATTTATGAAGCCTGAACTGATGCAGTGTACTACAGACAGAATCCAGGAAAACACCACCTATTAGCTATAGGGAGCTGACTTCAGAGTTTCTCCCAATATTTGGCCAATGTTAACAGCTTATTAACTTTACAAAAGTGGTATGACACTAGTTTAAATGATACAACTAATATCAGAGAAACAGAACTACCTTTTCTTTTATATTATCTTTTAGAGTTCAGGTTTATTGAACAGTTTAACCAATGACCAAGGCTTTGATTATTTTTGTAAATATGTAATCAAAATCATAAATTTTACAGTGCAGTGAATACTTACCGTCTATGCTACGGAAGTCAAGGAGGTAGGTTCTACTGTCCACCTGGTAGAGTTGAAGGCTCATCTTGGTTTGCATCCCAGTAATCGGATTCTTCCTTCTCACTCGTAGATAATATGGATTCACAACCTGGAAGCGTTATGAAGGGTGAAGAAACAGTGACTATATAAAGCTGATCTCACAAATTCTAATTTACAGTTAAGTAACATGATCTCATCTTTAATTCCATTTAAATATGTGATCCTATTTCATTTACTGTATTTGAACTACAACAAATAAAGCACTATCTATTTTCTCCTATACGCCCCTCTTATGGAGTTTCTTCCTTACCTTCCACTCATAATCCAGCTGTTTCATGGCACGGCACACTTCTGACATGATATCATTGGGTCTACTCTGACTCCGGATACCCAGGTGCCACTTGGCCCTTCTAACACC